CGTGCCCTGTGAGGGAAGACTCAGACCCTGAATGATTTAACATATCTAAGGACAGGAATTCAGAATAGATGGCTTTACTCTGTTTTTTAAAAATCCTTACTGCTCTACTTCGAAGAGTATATCTAAAAAGGCTGACTCACTATCAGTGTGTCATGGTTATGCCTCATGCTGTTCCTCCTTTCTGATTTATTGTGCAGGAATACTTTAACATACTTTAATTTTCACCTTAATGCTTTCAGTGGTGAAACTGCTTCAAGAAGAAAACCCGTCTTCTTCTAGTTTGAGAAATACGTATTTTTTATTAAATAACCAGGTACTTTTAGCAATGTGTTACTGATCGGGACATCCGTAAATCACAGGGAACTTTTCCTTCCTTAGGCACCTGTGCAGAGGCTGCTGCTCACACAGGGTTACAGAAGACATCAGCTCCTCATTTCAGAGTGAAGTAAGATGAAAACACCACTTTTTTCTTGTGTAATCAATTCTTCCATTGTAATATCTCTCATATTTTCTACTTTTCATCTTTAAATGTGCCCACGTTCCCTAGTCCTTTTTATTCTTTCTTTTTAGCTGTTTCTGTTATTTCTGGTATTTTGAAATTAAATGCCCAGAGTTTTCAGTGAGAATGTGGAGTTTAACGGAGAATTGGCTATTTGACCTTATTTCTGTGTTCAGATTTTTATTTACCCCGGGGTTTTCATCTCAGTTGTGCCGATTTTCACAAAATCAACATCTGATTGTAACAGAGTCTGTAAAAACGGAGCCTCCTGATCCAGCAGTAAAAGATAACTAAGATAATTTCAATAAACCTGTTATTTTTTCACGTTCATGAGCTTGTTTTAACAGATGATCAATTGATCTGAATTTCTGCACCAAAAAAGAGTTTATAGCAAAGAGCTGCTAAGTTTCTGTTGCGGCTGTTGAGATGGTGATGGGAAACTTTCCAAATATTTCTCCTTTTAAAGGTGAAATAACTTAGTGGAATGTGTGTAGTTTCCTTAAAACAAGCCATTCCTTTAAAATTTCCATATCAAAGTCCTACTGATCCCGATATAAATGTTCACTCAACCTGAGCACCACTAGTGTAATAACTTTTTTAAATTAAAGCTTTCTTGCTAAAGAAATGGCAAAAAAACATCAAAATATTCCAGACAGGGGTTATTCCTTTCATCATTGGTGGAGTTTTTTTTGGTCCAAAATATTTATTAATCAGTATAAAATACTCAGTCATAAATCTCACGCAGAGCTGGGACTCAGTTCAGGTTGTTGCTTTGTCCCCAGAAGATAAAGTGGGAGAATATCTGCTTCAGGCTCCAGTATATGAAAGCACTGTTTAAAAAAACTTCAACTACTTAACCATGGTTTTAAGGTAACAAGGATAGTTCACTCAAAACCGTAAAATATTTAGAGAAAAAGTAAGCTTCATAACAAAAAAAAAAATATCTGAAATTATATATGTCACCTTTACTGCAGATTGAGTAACCCCAGAAGAATATAAAATGATGAATCGTACTGTGGAAAAAGAAAACCCAAACTGATTAAAAATCTGTTAATATGTGTCACATAGTTTGAAAGTTTATTTATAGGTTTTTACAATATTTCTGAAGTTAAATATTTCAGGAATAACAGTTCCATCCCTCAGTGAGCGTAAATTGTTGGAGCTTCACAGAAGTCATTAGAGCAGTACTGATTCACAGCAGTTTAACATCTGGTCCCCTAAATCTGTTACACAAGGATTTGTTGTGTGGTTTAATGTTTTTAAAAAGTTTTTGCTTGGGGTGGAATATTTGTCTGCCTTATCCTACTGACAGGCCAATTTTGCCGAATACTCTGTCGAAGTTATAATTTGAGTATCGTGGAGCAGCTATACTATATAAAATGGAAATGCCTTCAGTATTAAAGGAAGATTTTCTGCACACTTAATCCAATTCAACACCTTCTTTCATCTGTATGTAAACACCGATTTTTAAAGAAACTTTCAAATATTTGAACTACTTCTTTCTGTTTCCAAATGACCAATTTATGCTGAGATGGGGTCCTCAGTATGGATACTGAGCTCACCGCATATACAAAACCTACATGCCGCTGGCTCCGTTTGAAGTCTGAGAGCTGGGAAATGGTTCTTATACATTACATATAAAAACTAATACATATACATATAAAGCTGATGGGAAAGGTTTGGATCCCCCTCTTATTTCCATTTTGTGAAATATGTTGATTTTTGAGTGGACAGAAAAGACAGATTTGGCCCTAAATGTGTTTAAAAAAAATTTATTACCAGGTCACATGGAAGGAACACAGGAATCTCTGCAGCTATTTCAAGGTCTAGCTAATTTTCATCTTATTTTTAATCATATCTTTTTTTTTCCCCTGAATTTAAAATTATTTTCCCTCTCTCCAGCATCCTCTTCTTATCATCCTACATGAAAAACCCATAAAAACAACAAAGAAAATTGCTTATCCAGGAGATCAGCAAGGTGCAAGCGGCCAAACATTATCAAATGATCAAAATAAACTAACCAAGATGGCAATAGAGAGTAAATTTGGGGTTTTTTTTTCCTTTTTTTATATAATTAGAGGGAACTGACATTCCTTCTGTAACGGTGACTGGTAAATTAGTTCAGGTGGGTATGTTAGAGTTTTCTTCCCTGTCTTCTTAACATTTTAGTGCTGTCTTGTACTTTATCTGACATGCCTTTGAAATTGATCTCAATCATGATATAAAAGAGCTCCTGACTACCTGGCTGGGTTGTTTTACTGAGCACCGAGTCCCCTAGTGCTGTGCTCGATGCGTGCATCCAGCCACTGAGGTTACTGGGGTTTGTGCTGAGGAAACACTCCTAGATGATGCTATTGATATACAGCCCTCAGAAAGAAGGTCTTTCTTTAAGCTGTAATTTGCACATTTACATTCTGCCTTTGAATTTCACAGTGAAAAACTACCAGAGGATTTTTTGTGTCTGTTCCTTTTTGCCTCAGCGATAAGAGCCAGATCCATCCCTGTATCAACCCAGTCTTACCCTGCTGTAACTTGGGTGCAACTGGAGCATTGCTGTGGTGGGCCACATCTGATATGTACTGTCACCAGCCTGGGGTATTTATCTTTGGGGTAAATACTCAGATTGTTTCACTATCGCTTTGCTGAAGCAGGCACTGAGAAGCAAACTTGACATTTGTGAGGGCCTTTATAGAGCCAAACTCATCTTGGGTTCAGTAAGAAGTGCTCTGTCTGAAAAAGGATTCATGTGTTTTATCTTCTGTGAGTTAGCTATTAGGTGACATGATATGGTATGATATTATATGATATGATATGATATGATATGATATGATGATATGATGCAACATGAACTGCTTGGGATCCCCTCTATCCAGAGATTTATACAGCTGTCCTTTGCTGGTCTCCTCAGCTCCCTCCAAGAGATGAGCATCTCAAAACCCATATGGAAAATCAGAGAAATATTTCCTGACTTCAGACCCGGTGTTTTTTCCCTTCTTTATCTCCCCCTACTCTGAAGCAGTCAGAGATGTATCAATGCAACAGAAACGCAAAGGTTGTTTCTATGAAAGGAGGACCAGATCCTTGCCCAGAGCACACAGCTCTCGTCTGTTGACTTGGGATAGAGCTGTTACATGTGTCCTGGGGAGGCTGGGTGTCCTCAGTTCCTGAGGGCTGTTGATACGTCTGGTTGAAAACGGTTTATTTCATTTGCCGTGCCAAATACACCAGGCAAACAGTGCTTTCCTGGTGGCAGGTTTTCTTTCAAACGTGGCTTACACTGAATGAGCTGAGGTCACTAAATTCATTTCGCTGAGGAACCAAAAAAAGGATGAAGCAAGATCCTGAACAGGCAAGATCAATGCTTTATTTACTAAGATGAGCCCTAAACCAAGGTTTTTCGCTAACTAGTCATATATTTTATTCATATTTGTCTTTGTGGTCTGACATTTTCTCATACTGTGATAGCTTCATCAAAATACAGTTTTTTAGAAAATGCATATTGCTTGTCACTGTTTCACTGACATAACGAACAAGCATGTTAGAATTTTATAAGCAAAATATTAACTTGTGTGGTGTTCCTAATGCATATTAAGTTTACCAGAAATAAGGAGAGCCAGATACGTATTAAATGAAATACTGTTCATGGGTCTTACAGCAGGAGAGGTGAGGAATACCTGGTAATCATGGCGTACACATCCAAGTACAGCATACTTTGTTCTGGAGGCTTAAGTAGGTAATTAGTATTGCACTTACGGACTTGTGAGTGATCTTAAATTACCTCCGCCTCTGGAAATTGTCCTTACTTTTAGTTGGAATGGATATAGTTACTCTGCCAAAAAGTCCCCTGGAGTTACCCACTGGGCTGGAGCATCTCTGCCACTGGAGGGGTGGAGGTGGTGGAGAGCAGCCAGGGGTAGGTAGGAAAGGGAGTGAGGGGAGAAAAGCTCTTGATGTGTTATTGTGGGCACAGTGTACGTGTAAAACCAGCACCTACACCTTATATTGTCTGAGCAGGGGATTTCTGAGGCTGGATGAAAAGGAGAAATTCTTTTAGTAAGGGAAGA